ATGAATCTATCATTAGTAATGTTACCTTCCACCTTGAATCTGTTTTTATCCAAAACCAACAGTAAACCCCCAAATTTTCCCACTACTTTTGTAAACCTAAAATTAAAATCATCATCACTCAAAATGATCCCTATTTCAACTTCATTAAACTCATATTTCTTTATTTCTTTAATCAACATAAATTCAATCTTATGAACCCTAATTATCCTCCTAAGTTCAGAAAGTTTAACAGCAGAACCCATACCTCTTATATTCCAAGATAAAATCTTCATCCCGAAACTTCCCCCACCAATTTCAATTAAAAGGCGATAGATTGTGATTGGGATACGCCTTCCGATTCCTCCGCTGCTACAATTTCCCAAACTAAAATCTCTTTTGGACCTTCAAATTCTATTCCTAACGCTCTTCCAATCTGTAGTGTTTTCTTTACTTCCCTCTTTTGTCTCTGCCATCTAGCTTGAAGATTAGTATCTGATAAAGACATTCCTTCTAATTCAGTCCAGTCTTCCTTGCACTCTATCTTCTTTTTTTTTTTTTTTTTGCACGATTATTTCCATTCTTCCTTGGAATGTTAGCAAAACTGCCTTGAATGCATTGTAAAGAAACATATCTTTTATTTTTCCAGAACTTTGCTTTTGGATTCTGTCTACTTTTATTCGATTTAAAATCCTCACTCAAATACATTGGGTCATTTAACCTCTGGTCCAGATCCTCCCCCTTATTCCCTATTTTGGGCTTCCCTCTAATTTGATCTGCTAGCAACTTATCCACTTGATCTTCCTCCATCTTATTAGTATTTTTAGCACTTATAATTTTAAGGCCCATACACATAATATCCTCCACTACCCTAGTATCAGATGTTCCATCCCAAATAGATAAATCTCTATAATTATCTTCTTCTTCCACATTGACACGTCTTTGATCATTTAAATACTTCTCGGCAGTAACTTCGACTCCTTCCACGTTTTTCACCTCATCATTACTTCTCTTCTGCACATTCCCACTACCATCATCATTTGTTCTCAACCCCATAATTGCTTCTTCTCCAATATTCTTTTCCCCTACGTCCTCACCCGACAAGCAGCTGTCTCCTGATATATTTCCCATACATCGTAATTGGAATTTGTCTTCCTCAAGCCACCTTTCTATAGTATCTTCCTCCAACGAGGACCTGCTTTTTTCGACTGAAGACAAAGAGTCACCTACCATCTCAAACTTTTTTTATCTCTCTTTTGAACCATTGATACACTGCTGCCAATAATCTGTTCTAGAATTCTAACTTTAAATAAATCTCGATCCACTTCCAAATCGAGCACATCGTCAATGAACTCTTTCCTGTCTGTTGTAATAAGAATTGTCACCTCGTCGCAGTACATCTCTTTCAAAGCATTTTCTCCCATCGCTAAGAATTCACCCCATTGCTCTGCTATCCTCTTAAACGTAACATGGTTCCAACAATGCAGCGGCACTCCACATAATTTGATCCAAGTTACTCTTTGAGACGGTCTATACGATTCTGTCCAAGGTTGTACATCCAAGAATACTTCCTTAAGATACGACCAGCTATTCTCCTTTAGGATCATGTGTAACTCATCGTCCTCAATCTCTATTAAGAAGTCTCTCTCTCCTATTTGTTCTTATTTCTCCTAGGCCTCCAGCCCGTAATCTATCTTCCACTTGACTTGAAGAACAAACTGTCGCCATCGTCCCTACCACGCATTTTTAAAGCTTTCGTACAACGTTCTCATCTACTTCCCCCTGAACAATTTTACTGCTCCTCATTGTTTGCTCCTCCATGCTAGCTCTAGAAATACTATTCTTTTCTTGTTTTGCCGATGATACAACTTTGGAATCTGATGGCGTATACAATTTCCTGCTTTGGCTCTTATCTCTGTATCTAGCTTCTTTGACTGTTAACCTGTATCTGAGAATCCATAAACCATTTAACCTAAGAGCTGCTCTATCTGCATCATTTTTGTTGGAGAAACTGACAAAACCAAAACGCTTCCCTACTCTATCATACTTCCTCACTATGAACGAGCTCACCACATCTCCGTGCCTACCAAAGAGTTGCCTCAATCCTCTCCAATGGTATATCGGTGGAATATTCTGAGCAAACAAAGTTGTTGTTTCGCCTTCCTTCCTCTCCATTTACTTTTAGAGATTTTATGTTCGAACACAAATAATTACATAATATTCGAGTATTTATCGTCAAATGATTGAATCCCTAAAATAAATATCATCACTTGTAATATTCCCATATTAATAAAAAAATTAACCTCAGATTGCACTTAGAAATTGAAGATTTCAAGCAATATAGAAGTAATAGGCATTTTAATGCAAGCCTAACAACTGTCCAAGTAGATTAATGAACTGTATGCAACTTTTTGATATTAAAGTAATTGATATTAAAGTAATTGAGTTTCTTTGGAAAAAATCATAAAGGAGAAAATGAAAAGATCATCTAATAAAACAAAGAAGGAATTAAAGAAATGAAAAGCATTCGCGTGAGGCCCCCATATGTGAAGAAACGACTTTGATTTCTATTATTGGGTTACTTTTCAACTAGCTTGGTTGAGTGTTTCGATGGATTGAGTGGAGAAGAGACGATCCCTAGGAAGGTTCATACAATGGTACATCACCTTCATTCCTCAATTATTACCTATTTTCCGCCAAAAGTTATCAGCTCCTTCATAATAATCTGTGAGTTTAAATTCAATTAGTATGAGATTAGACGAGGATTTTGATAAAATAATTTAGAATTTAATTAAAATTTTGAATAATTTAGTGAGAACTAAAAGAATAATTGAGAATATAGTTATAATTTTAAGGGGTTTGATTAAATATATTTAAAAAATTTAAGATTTAATGAGAATCTTTAATGAAATTGATTTTTAATAGAGCTAATTATATATGATGTCTCAAAAGTATAATCTTTATTTCAAATTAATTTTTGAATTTTAAAATATTTTAAATTAATTTTTCAAATTATAACCTTCATTTAAAATTAATCCTTAAACTTTAAAATATTTTATATAAATCTTCAAACTATCAATATAATTATATTTGGACCTTCTGTTAAATTTATTAGTTAACCTTTTGAAATTTTAACTTGAACTTGGATTGCAAATATCATTCAGTGAACTTTATTGACGCAAAAACTTTTTAATTTAATTGGTATGCAATCCTTCTTCTTTTTTCAATTCTAATCTAATATTTTTTTCAAACTGTTTGATGTGTAGGAGAAAAAATAATTATTTAATAGATTTATTTTATAAATTTGAAACTCAAAATTTTTTAGAATAAATTATTATACAAGATCAGTTATGGTTGAAGTTGGAAAATGAAAATGTATCGAAATGATAAATGATACCACTAGTTTGATGGGGTAAACAATTGAAATCAAGGTACATGTCATAAATATATGATAAATGTGCTTCTCAAAATTTGACCTAAATGTCATTATATATTTGCTAAACTCAAAGCTTAAAATCCATGGTTCCCCATTTAGACCAAGTTTACTAAGGACACGTTGACAATTCCAATAAATCATTTAATTTCATGATCAAGTTGTGAATTCAATAACCTGTTTCTCGACCATAATATAAAAATAGCATATATGATACGTGCACATGTAAATACCGAGGCTAAACAGCTCATCAGAAGAAAAAAATGAATAAATCAATTGTCATTTGATTTTGATATAACAAAATAAAATATTAAATCTTTTAAATATATATTTTTATAATAAGCTTTTGTGAGATTTTGTTTAAATTATTAATTATTAAAAAAATATTGATTTTCCTAGCTTCAACAATAAGGAAAGGGCATAAAATAATAAAATGAAATAAAAAGAGGGTGGGGGCAGTGTGAGGCTGGGACATGACCGGAGTAAGAGGAGGCTTTGCCGCTTTGGGGTCGAACCCACGGCAGCAGAGCAGCGGCAGATCCAGATATTATGTCGGATTGTTGGGGTTTCTCATTTCTGACCCCACGTGTTTTTTCTGTTGGCACTGCATAGTTGCATATTTCATATTTTCTGCCCACCCCTCTACTTCTCCATTCACCCTCCCTTTTCAGCAGTACTACATTTCTATCTTGCACCACACGAGTATACGAGTATATCAGTGTTAAAATATTTTAACTGAAAATATAGTCACCTATTTAGCAAAATATTTATTTTTCTTTTTAAAATTACAATTGTACAACCAATAAATTATAATCAAAATAAATAATTATTTTAATTTAAATTAACAAATCCGAATAAATTTGATAATTTCATCAAAGTAAATATGAATAAACTCAATACAATTGAATATATGATGTTGGAATTTTTAAAGTCTCGTACCAAAATAAGGTTGATAGTTTGGTCGTATTCATATTCTTCAATTTGCCTTAAGTTTAGAAGTAGTAGTTGGATGGATTCATGAATTGTAGTAGTATCATATCTATATATTACATGGACCAAGCGGGGGCTACAGCATTCAAGAACATTAAAATGTAGTACGAAAAAAAATGTCAATTAACAAGAACAAATCGAGATTATGACTCGATTTGATTAAGAATACATTAATATTAGATATTTCATTTATAGTACTGAGAATAAGTGCTAACCCTAGTGGCATTGTTCATTCATATATAAACCTATTAATAATAAATCATTTAAGTCGAAAGTACATAATTTCAAAAGAGAAAAGAAAAAGAGAACATTAAACAAAACAAAAAACGACAGTGAAAAGTGCAAAGTAAAAATAAAATAAATAATCTTAGAAACGAATATGTCAAGGATACTGATCCTAAATACTTATACAACCTGTCACCACCACCTTACAGGCTGGCAACCCATGCCCACAGCTCCCATAAAAATGCTTATTACCATGTCACGACAAATTCCTACGTGGCAACATGGTCCAAATTTCCTTGGCCCCTTGTTTCTCTCCTCTATATAAACTTCTCCTTCCCTATCCCATTCATCAACGAATTCAAAGCAAACTCAAAAAGAAAAGAAAAGAAAAACAACAACTTTCAGTTCCAAAACAACAACAGAATCGACACTAGTATCTAGGAATCCGAAAATGGGTATTTGTAGTTCGTGCGATTCAACACATGTAGCAACGGCTAAGCTGATACTTGAGGACGGAAGGTTACAAGAGTTCCCTTATCCAGTTAAGGTTTCTTATGTATTGCAAAGGAACCCAATGTGTTTCATCTGCAACTCAGATGAAATGGAATTCGGTGACGTCGTATCAGCTATCGAGGAAGAGGAGGAGCTTCAACCCGGTCAACTTTACTTCGCTTTGCCCTTGACTTGGCTTAAACATCCTTTACAAGCCCAACAGATGGCCGCGTTGGCCGTCAAAGCTAGCTCTGCTTTAATGAAAAGTTCTAGGGCTGAAAAATCCGGCTCTAGACGTAAAACTGTTATTCCTTCAGCGTTCTCCGACGACTCTCCTCGCCGGAAAGTTGCCTCCCCCCTCAGCGGTGATGGTGATGAGAAGAGAGGGAGGAGAAAGTTCAGGGCTAAACTGAGTGATATTGCTGAATAGGGAGGGGGTCATTTTGGGAAATAACGGTGATATGTTTGTAAATATATATGAGATTGAGTTTATTTTTTGTCAGATTACTGGTGGAAAATAGAGGTGGTTGACCTACATTCTGATGTAATTAACTTAATTTCACAATTCACCCTTCTTTACACTCTTCGGTTGCCCATGCGAGGGTCGTGTTACACTTTTACCCTATTTGGGTTCGAGTGAATACAATAATTTTCGATTACTGCGTCGTGTCTAAAGTCTTGACATATATTTTAAATAAGAATAGAATGGTAAATTTCGTTTTTATTTAATTATTATTAATAATAATTAAAATTTTAGTATTAAAATATTTAAAAATCGATAAAATAAATAACCAGGTTTTATTTAAATAAAAATAATTAAAACCATATCTTAATTAATGAAAGTGACCAAATATTATACCTTTAAACTTAGTGAAAAAAATATATACAACTTAAACGAAAATGATTAATACTGAAATTTATCTATTAAACAAATGCATTATACACGATGAATTTTAACACACATGTGATATAAGAAGCTTATGTGAGAAGTATTTTTATTAAAGTTTATTTACTTTTTTAGGGTTATAAAACTTTAATTACTTTTTTCTTTTGAGAAAAAAATTAATTACTAAATTATAGATGGGTTCTAAAAAAATTTTAATTTTGAATATTTAAAAATTATTTAAATATACTATAATACAACAACAATTTTAATAATATTTATTATTGTAAAATATATTTTTAATTTTTTCTTAATTGAATTAGTACGCACGAGAAAATTCAATTAAGAAGTTAAAACAACTAAAGATATGTAATTAAAATTAAGAATTGTTCTTTTAAAATTAATATAATAATAAATTTAAAAAAACATATTAAAAGAAGTTAAAAGAATAAAAAAACATTGACTGATTGCGTACGTTACTGTCTGCATAAAAATATGTATAAATGGAAAGGTTCTGCTGAACAAAAAATGAGATTAAAAATTCAGCATTTTATAAATAAATTATAATTGTTAATATTAAATATTGATTGACGTGGTATTACGAAATATAAAAATATATAAAAAATGATTGCATAAGCAATATTGTATGTGGGGAACCTGAGATTCACTCAGCTCAAGGCTGATGTATCATGTTACTGCTTACCAAATGTTGAGTGGGAATTGTTAAGATTTTTGTTTGAAATTTTCAGATTTGCAGGTGAGAATGACTCGTCCTACTTGGTGGAAACTTCAATATTATTTGCCCACTTTGGTTGGTTTTGGATGAGGCAATGAGTCGCAACTCACAACTAACAGCACGCCTCTGGATTTTCAGATTTATGCTATTTGGATATTAAAAATATAAATAGTTAAAAAGTAAAGTCCCCATAAATTTCAAATTTTCAGATAGCTACTTTTTCGTTTTCTTTTAAGACGGCTAGTTTAACCTTAAAACTGGAAGGGACTTTGGCACTTACCAAGATCGGCATAGCATGAAAAGATGTGTAATAATTGGAGATAATTACTCAAAAATAATACTTTGCACTGCATGTATTTGACGGTAATGTGTATGTAATAATTGGAGCTAATTACTAAAAAGTCATAGTTTGCATTGGATGTATTGACAATATTGTTATCAAGAGAATGTTCATTTCAGTTAATTTTACCCTAATGTACTTCAACATGTTTGAAGCTCATATATAGCTGGAGTTCTGAAAGTGGGTTGAAATGGAGCACATGTATTACCCACATTTGGATTTCAAGGTTAACCAAGTCAAGCTAACACTATAATTGAAGACGACAGCTTGGAGGAATCCTATGGCAATTCATGGTGAAGAACAGGAAGTATTAATTAAAAAATGGTTTTAAGTAAACAAAACAAACCACCCATAAGTACGTTGCCATCATTTCATATACAAGTTGGTGTGGTCCTACATAATAGTTCTTATCCACATCATGATCATAAATGCCTCTATTCATTTGGAAATTGTAGGTCATTGGATTAAAACTGCAACTTTCTTATAATACAAGGACTGTCGATTGAATTTGACTTATTATTAGGGTTCAAAGGTAATCTTATCTTTTAATTTCTCTCATCAACATCATGTGCTTCTTTCATGAATTGTGACGATTTTACTGTATCTTACACCATTTTTTTAATAATACTGTATCTTAAACCAATATCAAAACCAGCAGGCACTTTTGCTATTCACCACTATTTTTGTTGTTATATTTATCTACTTATTGGAGTGAAAGACAGCTAAAGGAAGATGCCAGCCCTAAATAAAAGTATGTTAAAAGCGAAAGAGTTGAATATGTGACACCTTTTTCACTTTTGGATTAGCAGAAATGATCTAACTTAATTTAAACATTGGCCCGTTTTATTGCCATCATGGCTTCAGCTACCTTGAATTTGAGTGCTGAGTTTGAATCCAGCTGTTTCTCAAATTATTTCCTTTTTCTTTTATGTATAGCTTCATAAATAATTCCCTTGTAGCCCCTTGCAGCTCTGGTTTTGAGTTTGTTCAAAGAATGATTATGGAATGATGATCACAATCAATAAGCTTAACCTTTACACGTTTCAGTTATTCAGTTCAATCCACAAATTAAACGTCAAATTGTCCATCCTTCTCTGCTAAGAAAACTATATGTGTATTATATGTATATCTTCTCCTCCGTCCTTATTACAACTTTAACCAAATCGAGCTCTGGTACTTTTAAAATTAAAAAGACAAATTAAGTTCAGACAATCGAATTTCTTTTTCAAAAACGCATGTATCGTTCAATTACATTTTAAGCGTTGTTTATTCCCGCAGATAGGACTTTGTTAAATACATGTAATTTTGGTGGCGTTCATGTTATTTTATGTCACAAAATTAACTAGTCTAAATACGGGATCTTCTTGAACAGAAAGAGAGGTCCACACTCTTGCATGCCATAATGTGGATCTTGTCCAGAAGCATGATTGTTTTTTATTGGATGCACTAAAAGCTTCTCTGATACAGTGGAAAAGAAATCCCAGTATCAGCTTTTTCAAGTGCATAAAATCAACTTTCCTTTGGATGATTTCTAAATATCAAAATTATGTAGAATGTAGGATGGTGGAGTTGATAAAGTTGATCTTATCCAAACAATCTAACCCTAGGTTAACTTAAAAAAACTAAATAAACAGAAATGAAGAATTTAGGTTTTTTTCCCCACAACTCACAACATGTTTTGCAGGGATGACAATGACCCGCTGCAGATGTTCTTGTCCGAAACAAACTAACATGTCCAAACCTTGAATTTCGTGAAAAATAGGAACATGACATAGTAGGGATGGCCTTTAAACGAGGAATGAAACAGACCAAAGGGAAAGATGACAGATAGAAGTGGGCATATATTGGAGAAAATGAGTACAATAATTTGAAATACTTGTTGCTGGAAAAGAAGGCAATGTATATTGCCGGTTATATTAATACTATTGTTTTCTTGTTCCTTCAAGCTCAGAAGGAATAGTGAGCTTTCATTTTTATGCTTGCCTTATTGAGTTGGAAAACTCCACATCATTATACTCTTTGATAAAAATAATATATTATATGTATGAACATATCAGATAGTAGGGGCATTGGATAATTTTGTTCACTTTAATAATTCATGTCTAGTCTCATACAAGAATATACAACATTGTTACTACAAGAATAATAATAGAGAAGCAATGAGCTTAACACAACATTTGTTCAAGTGTAAAACTCATATGAGTGGCGCACATAACTACAAAAAAGAAAAGCCGGTGAGTGCTTTTCGGCCCATTATGACTTTATTTCTTAATGAAAATGTGCCTTTCCGTGACTTGCAATTTGACCAACAACAACGATAAATTTTAGTTTCTAAACTCTTAATGTTTCCAAACTCTTTAGTTTGAGCATTTAAATTTAAAAATATATCACCAAAACATATAATAGAAGTCCAAATGGGTGCCTGCGCCTGCAGAATTTCAAACTCAAAAACAGGTAAAGCTAGCAATAGGATCAAATAGAGCCCAAGGTAATCGAACGCTGCCAATGTGGTTCACATCGATGGTTGTCTACAAGTGTTCAGATAAGCAACCCAAGCCAAGAACACTATTTCCCAGAATCCGAATTGTTTCCTTTGCTGCTGGACTTTTTTTTCCTTCCATTACTTAATTGAAAGAAGAGTTTAGCAATATTGCAACTTAAGTTTGTCTTCTTTACGAAGCTAATATATAAATTGTGATGTTCGAATCTATATTGCAACTTAAGTGTTTTTTGATGGACTGAGTTTTTAACACGCTAATTTGATCGTTCCAATACACATTTGTCAACGAATTGGAAAACAAACGGATTCAAAAGAAATTTGTGAAATGGGGTGTGAGTTAGATAGATAACGTTGTGCCGGACTTGTGTGCTCTTGTCATAAAAGCTACTAGCCCTGGTCTAGGCAAAGACGGTGTTGGCCTTTGCTCAACTGTTCATAATGTTATTGGATATACATTGAAAGAGTGTGGTTTTGGAAAGTGGCCAAGGTGAGACCAACTTGACAAGGTAACCAGGAAGGTCTATGTTTTGCCACTATTGGGTTACTGCCCAATTTGTGTTTTAACGTGTTATCACATCCCCTATGTTATTATTATTTTATCATATGCTTTGATGGGCCGATTGAAGACCATGGTAGACTTAGCCATTGGGTCATGTAATAGCAGGGCTCAAACACTACTTGCTTGAGCCCTTTGGTTCTGTCATGTGGCTGCATCCGAAGTTTACAAAAATAAACTTTTTTCTTTCAACAAGGTCACATGCAAAGTGCAATTCTCCGAGGATAACCAAACTATTTCATTACTCAAAAAGATTACCATATCTTAACAACTCATTAAAATCCCATAATCCCACCCAGTTTCAGTGGCTGCCACATTGCCCCACTTCCAAGGCAACCACTCTGCCTGCAGAACGGACCCATCTTTGCAAGTCTAAAAATTCTTTCCATTAATAGAACTCGCAAGCTGTAATCACCAGCTTAAAACTAGACAGGAGACAAAGGCCAACGCCTTGGTTGAACTTCTTCTGGTTCTGGCTATTTCCCACAACACAGCCCAGGGGGCAG